AGGCCGATATGGCTAGGAACTATACTCTCATTCCGGCGTAATAATCAAGGAACTTTGCTTATGCACCATGGGTGCAGCAGGCGCAATGATATTACGCAGCGCCTGAAAATAGTCCCCAGCTAGGTAACTTCTAATGGAAGGCATGCTCCCTGTGCAAGTAGGTGGTCACGTTGGTTATGTTGGCGGAAGTTAGCCTATTTTCCGAAACTCTTTGGTCATTTTTGAGCAAAATGCTAACGGTCTAATCAGATTCAATGATCTATGCTAAGCTGCAGCTAAAAGTGCTACCGCCAGACCCGGAGATTGGCTGAATGGATTCGAAAACGATAAAACTCAACTGTTTAACTCTAGGGGAGTTGGAAAATGAGCCTATTTTCAAAAATAGTGGAGTGTTCCTTTAAAACACTTAACATACAGACACATTCAAACTTTGATTAGTGATAAAGTCTGTTTTATCTTTCTGTCTAGATTCAAGCTTTTTACTTGGTAAATAATGTGCAGTTCACACTGTGTCTGACAAATTTTCAGCATGTACTGTATTCAGTGAAGAAGTTCTGTAGATAAAGTACATTAATTATGAATGCAGGTGTTCTGTGGATACATTCCTGGACATATATCACTTTAAGAAAAAAGGTACAAAAGCTGTCTCAAGCTGAGGCGGTACATTTTTTAAGAAGTACAACTCTGTACCTTATTTACCCCTAAGGGGGTATATTGGTACCTTAAAGGTACATACTAGTACCTAAAGTGTACATATGAGTACCAAAATCATACATATCAGTACCTTTTGAAAGGGTACAGCAGTAGTGACAGCTTTTGTACCTTTTTCCTCTGAAAGTTTACTGCAGATGGATTCAGGGTTGCCAGGTTTGTGAAACAAAACCAGCCCAAACGGACCCTTTTCACAAGACTGTGATGACGCATTTCAACGGTCATCAACAACGTAAATCCTCTAAATGTTTTAATTTTTTTATTTTTTTGTTTTAAATGTATGTACATTTATAACACTATACTTTTTATTATATCACATTTGTAGCAAATTACGGAAAAAGTAGTTAACGCAAATGCGAGGGTGTTTCTAATGCAGCGTCTATGGGAGGGACGGTAAATGTGTCATCTTTCTCTCTTGACTGCCGTTATCAGTCTCTGTCAAAAATTTTTTTTCCTTTGATTGAAAGTCGTGTAAACACTATTGCTTAGATTTTCTTTCGCTATTTGAGCAAATGGGAATGCAAACAATATATATTTGTGGTACTTTCCCATCCACTGCTCTCGAAGTAAACCCAATATGACGACTTCCGCTGCTGAAAAACCTGGAAATGTGTAAAAGGACTATTGCTAATCAAAACTAGGCCAATCACGTTTTTTCCGCGGTTTTCCCTTGCGTCAAAATAGCATTTCGCTCAAACCCGTGGACTACAAAACAACCCACAGCAACAGTGTAAAAGTAGCAAAATGGCAACAGTGGATGGATTGTGGATTAAAAACATATAAATTCATATGAGGCACTTTTTTATTTAATTTAATTAATTTACTTTTTATGTAGAAAAAGTATGCATATTCTACAGCGGGAAAAGAACCTACAGCGATGATGTCACTACATTTGCATGGTGATTGGTTAATTCTGCCATACTGACTTCTGATTGGTGTTTTTTTTTTCTTTAATCTAATTAACTTAACATGGCAACGCCATATCATGTTTTATTTTTGCTGCAGTATTTAAAGCCTAAAACTAAATCAACTTTAACACTATTCTTTACCAGGCACTGATTTTCTTTCAGAAAATGTACATATGGTCAGTGTTGGGGAAAGTTACTTTTCAAAGTAATGCATTACAATATTGCGTTACTCCATAAAAAAGTAACTAATTACGTTACTTAGTTAATTTTTATGGAAAGTAATGCGTTACGTTACTTTTGCATTACTTTTTAAATCTGGACAGGGCTTGCTTGTTTGATTTTAAAATAAAAACGTTCTATTTTTGGCAAATATAAAAGCCTTTTCACACCAAAAGTGAAATGAATAAGCCTCAGGCTGAAGGGAAAGTAAATTTACGTCCGTACAGTAGAATACAGAAGAAGAAATTTAAACACACTTCAGCAATAAAAAAAGACACACAAATGTCTGTCTAGAGTAATTTTTGCTTATTAGTACGGTTGAACTGGATCATCGAAGGTCAGAAGCAAAGACATTGGTTAATAGAATGGGATTAAATACATAAAGCATATTTGTGTTGTTTAAAATTTAATTATTGCAGGTTTGTGTCATATTCTGAGTTGCATTATTTTTATTCATTTTGAGGAATACTGAATCTGTTT